TAGGTAGCTCTGCAAGAGCAAAGTCTGCACAAGGAGGTAAAAAATCAAGGAGTTTGATCATGTTTCAGAGAGGGAGAAGAGTCAGAAGGATGGCAACCATTTGATCTTCCCAGGGTTTGAATGGAAGAGATGTGGGTGTCCAGAGGTGTGCAGCGCAGTCCTCTCAGCCTCTTTTGGGAGCTCATGGGTTTTACAGGATTGACAGGTCATGAAGCTTGGCAGGGACCTTGGGGGGAGTAAAACCCCTTGCTAAAAGCAAGTACAATCAGCAGAGGCCAGACCAGGCTGCTTAAGGCCTTGTTGTAGGAAGGAGAGTCCACAACTTGTCTGGCCAAACTGCTTCCAGTTCTTATTCATCCTCAGAGGGAAAATTATTTTCTATTATACCCAGCACAAATCTCCCCTGTTTCGGTACATGACCACTGTCTCCTGTTCTTCTGTCCAGCACCTCCATAGGGATCCTGGCACTTCCTGCTCAGTAACCTTCTCATAGGCGTGGAAAGGAACTGTTTGGTCTCCTCTAAATCTTCTCCTTCAGGGTGAACAAGCCCAGCTTCTTAAGCTTTACTTCACATGACTAGTGCTCTAGCCCCCAAATATTGTGGTTCTGCAGTAGTCTTCCTCTGATTTTGGGAGACAATATTCCATTATTTCAGATGACATTTTGAAGAACGAATGAAGTAAGTGTATTTTAAGAATTTAAAGAAGGTAAAAACTGACTTAGAAATAAAAAGTTTGAAGTTGGGTTTTATATAAATATATTTATTTTTCAAGGTTAGGTGTAAAGCTTGTCAGATTAATTCATTTCTTTCACTGAAAATAAAGATATGTCTTTTCTACTGCAATGTAAGGCTGCTAAGACTTACATGTTGTTGCTGAGATCCTGATCTTAGGAAAGATGATGACTTTCATGCAGCAATGAGTTGCCCAGTTATAAGAATATGGAGAAATTTCTTCTAAAGTAAACCTTAATGTTGCTCATTTTGAGATGATGAAGTTAGGATACTTACAGATCAAATCCTAGGGAGCCCAATAAAGAATGGAAAGATTCAATTACAATTACTTTATATCGCAAAAGCAGCAGTTCTTTGGCTTTAATACAACTGAAATGTAGAAGGTAAGTTCTTTTACAGTCAGTGAAACCTCTGTGGAGCACAGCACATAAAAATTAATTTTCTATGAACCGAAATTTAGTTCTAGAAAATAATATGATTTCTGAACAGTGTGTAATGAATCATCTCAGCACTATTCAAATACATTAATTTGGCTGCTGAGAGTTTTGAATGATCTATGTCAAATACACCCATTCTTAGCTATCCCCACTGCTAAAGCTGTTGCCCAGACTGTCATCATCTGGTAATTCAATCACTGCCACATCATCCACTTGGGCCTTGACTAAAGCATTCTTTCTATGACTTAATTGACCATGCTCAGATAATTTTCCCAGTTCCTCCCTGTGACAAAGCTGGCCTCAGAGTGAGTGCAGTGTTCATTAGAGCCGCAGTACACAAAGTGCCATACCTACAGTCAGTTCCTCTCTGGTAACTGAAGTGCAGCTGCAGAGACAGAGTCTACCATGTCCTACAGAAGTCATCCCAGTACTTTTCCTTCCTCCGATTTTTAATCTCTTGGAGCCCCTGACTTTTCCCCCTCTGACTGTAAAAATGGGCTCTGCAGACTCTGGTTTTGCTTCCAGGCCACTACACCACACTTTGACAGATGTCAGTCATCTTCAGTGCCAGCAGGACACCTGTCATAAAGTCCTTTCATACTTTTATTTCAGACACTTCCAGAAGTGGAGCTGTGTTAGTGAGGAGGTCCTGGTATCACTGTTTGCAAAAAGGACTCCAAAACTCTAGAAAGCTGTTGTAGAGTCAAAGACACATAACGGGTTTGTAAACATGAAACAGTAAAGGAGATTAGCTCCTGGAGCCCTTACGAAAGTGTAGTTAACACCTTTTGTTTCCCCTTCTTGTACTTTGATATCTCTCTCCCTGGCATTAAAGCTTGAGAGGATCTCTAGGGTGTTTTTCTTATTTCTGCATCAGAAAATCACAAGCACATACTCTAAAGATAATGCTAGTACAAAAAGGCTCACTTTTAGCTGTCTAGGGTACACAACATGTCACATGAAACATGAGTGGATACAGAGACTGCGCATCTTGGAGAGCTCCAGTTGACAGTAAACACACTTGACTGAAATAGATTATGGCATCAGTTGCAACAAGTTTTACAGAAAAGTTTCACTGTGTAAGTAGATTGGGGAAAATAAAGACCATAAACCACATATACACATGCCTTTTTTTGGCACTCTTTCCCTTAGCATCCACTCCAAACCCACTTGGATAGCATTGACACTAAGCTAGACTGACCTTGACTGAGTTCTTAGATCTGTGTTAATTAGTTTGACAGGTCACATCTTTGTAATTCTTAGATTATGACAATACTGCAAGATACTGGTGCTCTGCATAGCACAATGGAGTCTCACACACTGTAATATCATCATGACAGTTCTAATAAATAAATATTTTGCATCAGAAAATACTCATACCATAGAATCATAAAATGGCTTGGATTGGAAGGGACCTTAAAGAACATTTTAGTTCCAACCTTCCTGCCATGGGTAGGGACACCGTCCACTAGACCAGGTTGCTCAGAGCTCCATCCATGGCCTTGAGCATTTCCAGGGATGGGGCAGCCACAGCTTCTCTGGGAAATCTGTGCCAGTGTCTCACCACCCTCACAGCAAAACATTTCTTCCTAATAGATAATATAGAGCTACTCTCTTTCAGTTTGAAGACATTGCCCCTTTTGTCACTACAGCCCCTTGTAAAAATTCTTTCTTTTCTTGTAGGCTCCCTTCAGGTATTGGAAGGCTGCAATTAGGTCACCCCAAAGCCTTCTCTCTTCTAGACTGAATAATTCCAGTTCTCTCAAGCTTTCCTGAAAAAGTGCTCCATCCCTCTAATCGTCTTGGTGGCCTCCTCTGGACTCACCCCAACAGGTCAATGTCTTTCCTGTGCTGGGAACGCCACAGCATTCCAGGTGGGTTCTCATGACAGCAGACTAGAGGGATGAAATTGCCTCTGTTGACCTGCTGCCCACGCTGCTTTTGATGCAGCCCAGGACATGTCTGGCTTTCTGGGCTGCAAGTGCACATTGGTGTCCTGTGTCCAGCCTCTCATCTGCCAGTGCCCCCAAGTCCTTCATGATAGGGCTGCTCCTGTATTGGTACTGGGGGCTGCCCCAGTCCACGGGCACACTGCACTTGGTCTTGTTAAATCTCTTGAGATTCTCATGTGCCCACTGCTCGAGCTTGTCCAGGTCCTTCCGGATGGATCCCGTCCTTCAGGCGTGTCAGCTGCATCACTCAGCTTGGTGTCTTCTGCAAAATTGGTGAGGATGCACTCAATCCCTACAGTAACATGACTTTAAAAAATCATTATAATTTATACTATTGATTAAACCAGTGTAGTGCTACTATTATACAGTAGAAAAATATAAAGAAGGGCGGCACAGGGATTACAGAAATATCTGAGAGCTTGGGAAACTCAGGACACAGTCTCATATGCCCCTTTTGATTTCAGGCAAGTTATTTATCCTCTTTGTAAGTCAGTCTTCAGTATGGAAACTGATGCTACTGATCCTTCTCTGCTCTAGAGGAATATTATACAATAAATGAAGTCAAAAATTCTGAGGTCTCAGGATGGTATGGAAAACACCATACAGTCAGACTTCACTTATCTATGGTTAGATTGTTCATGGATGAAAAGCTAGCGTGGATCTAACATGACATATTAGGTCAGGCACAGTGCCACATGAATGCAGTTATGCTGTTTCTAAGGCCAGCTATGCTGTGGAAAGAGTACATCTGCTTTTGTGAGAGCCTAGCTGGCTCCATCCCGAGGCAGCTCAGGTATTTCAGCACCAAAATTATTGGCACGGGGTTTGGGGGGAGGGAGGAAGAAGGAGGAGCAGAAACACCCAGCACAGACCTAGCCTCGATCCTGGATCTAGCTGGGTTTATAAGACCTGGCTTTGCACCAGCTGTACCAGATCCACACTGCCTCCCAGCTTTTGCACCTGCTTCACAGAGCCCCAGGCCCTACGGGGCTCATTAGGTCAGGCACAACGGGATGAGCACCACAAGCAAAGAGTCACGGTCTGTCCATACCTGGCTGGGGAACAGGCTGTGAGTGAGGAGCAGAGAAATAAACAGCACTGTGGAGTCAGGGTGGTGGATGTTATGAGAAATTAACAGATCTTCCGTATCAAAACTAAATTCACTTGGAAACTCTTGACTTCCCCCTTGTTTCAGCCTTTCGTATCTGTACTATTGGGATTCCCATTTTACTAACTTTACAATACCTCTGCCAAGTGGAGATGTGGCTAGAAACAAGTACAAATCACTTACTGAAGTCACACTTTAGGACTTCCAGAGCCATCTTCCCAAGACAATGAAAGTGGTGTTTCAAGGAAGAGACTTTGAAATGTGTGAGATCAGACTTTAGGAAGCCAGAAGGAAAAGGGGGGGTGGGGGGTGGGTGGGCAGAATAAATCAATCAAGGTCTTAAATCCAGGCTTGAAACACATAGTTATCAAGAAGAAAATAAAAGGGAAAGGAAAAATAAAAAAAAAGAGAGAAAGAACAGGGCGAGAAGTGAGGAGAACTAGGTTTCCCCAGGCTGTAAGCAGGGCAGAGAAAGAGAAAGGACGAGAAGGCTTTGCGGGGAGAGGCAGAAGCCCGCCGAGGAAGAGCCGCCAAGCGAAAGCATCAGCGGCTCTCGGGCCGGCTGGCGTTAGGGCCGGCGGAGGCGGGGGCGCGGGCCGGGCGGGCGGCGCCAGGGCCGGGCGGCGGGACGGGAGGTAGGGGGGGACGGCTTCGCCCCGCCGTGCCGCGACCTGAGCGCGTGTGGGCGGGGAGCGCCCCGCGCCGGGATAAATAGCGCTGTCCCCCGGCTGACAGCCCGTCCCGGGGCGCGCGGGGCCGGCGGCAGCGCTCGCTCGCCGCCGTGGGCAGGCTTGGGGCTCTCGGCGACTCCGCTCCGCGACCCCGTTCCTGCCCCGACACGGGTTGTGACTTTTCTCTGTCTGTTTGTTTTTGGGGAGAGCTAGAGCAGAGGAGGACCAGGAGAGCCCGGGTCCAAGCTTTTCACCTCTCTTTCCCCGCAGCACAGGGGAGATGCTGGAAGCGGCGGTGAGTTCGCAGCGCCCGAGAAGGGCGGCAAGAAGCGTGTAAACTCCTGCGGTCCCCAGCGGCAGCCGCTGCCCCGCGACCCTCCGCCGGCCCCTCCTCGCCCCGCACGCCGCCGGCCTCGCCGCCCCTCGCTGCCACCGGAGGAGGCTGCCCACCCCAGCGGCCCAGGATGCAGTTTCGCCTCTTCTCCTTTGCCTTGATCATCCTGAACTGCATGGATTACGGCCACTGCCAGCCCGGCCGCTGGAGACGCAGCAAAAGAGGTGAGTGGCGCCGGCTGCTCTCCCGGGACGCCGGCCGGGGCAGCTGCGGGAGCGCCCGCGGGGAAGGGCCGCTCTCCGGCAGGTGAGCCGCGCTCCGGCTCCGCGGGCACCGGGCCGGCACGTGGGGCGGCTGCGGGGGCGAGCCCGGGGGCGCGGGGCCGTGCCGGCGTAGCGACCGCTCCGCGGGGCTGCTCGCCGCCGTCCTGCTGCGGAGGTCGAGCCGGGAGCAGGAGGAGCGGCGTGGACGTGAGCTCTGATGGGAAGGGGCCGGCCGGAGCCCGGGGCAGCCGGGGACGAGAATGCCGAGCGGTAGGCGCACGGCCCACGGCGTGTCCTCCACCGGGGCCGGTGGAGCGGGGGTCTCGCTGGGAGCTGCCCACCGCGGGAGGGGCCGCAGCGGGCAGGGAACGTCGCTGATGTCGCCGTCGCTCCGCGTCCAGCGGCTGCCGGGGGATCGCTGTTAGCCCACGCAGTTAGAGGCGCGTGTCCACGGGACGAACTTTGAAGCTGTTTTTCGTGGATGTTTTCGAGGCAGAAAGGCGGCTTCTCCCCTCCGTCCTCCGGTACCGCCGTGCCGCTCCCGCGGGGCTTGGCCGCCGGGAGAGCCGCGGCGGCGGAGCGCACCGCGCCGTGCCCAGCTGTGCCGCCAGCTTTGCTGGAAACGTGCAGATCCCTTTGAGGAAAAGACATAAACGGTGCGTTGGGGCTTCATCGGTTTCCCTAAACGCTGATGTCGGGATGCCGGAGCTTTGAGCCGGAGCGGTGCAATATGCCAGTACAGCTCCCGTGTGGACGGAGAGGTTACTGCAGCGCCTGCCGGCTGGCAGCCCGGCCGAGGCGTCGTCAGTTTATTTTTTTATTATTTTTTTTATTTTTTTTTAAGCGATGGGGAGGTTCACCTTATTACAAAATGTTTTATTATCCACATATTCTGAATTATTTTTCTGTCTCTTTTCCTGTTATTTTCTCGGCCGTGCATCCCCTTCGCATTTCTAAAGTTTGCTGAAAATCAGGTGGCTCAAGCTGCTAAACTCTTCTGAAAGAGTTGCACTTTTAGTGGTATTATTTGGAAGGGGAGGGACTTAGCATCTCCGGTGTTAAGCTGGTACAAATAGTAATAAAACCGTGAGAAGAAAATAGTTTGCACATTCGTGCATATGTCATCTTCAGAGTAGGTACAAATAAAATTGGAAGGCAGTTTGGTTTTGATGGTTTCCAGAGTTTAATTTATGTGTGTGTGGCTAAAACGATAGCAGTCTTTTAAAGTGACCAGACTATCTGTGGTAACAAAGGGTATACTGTGTCTTTAATTAAATGTGGAACTACTTAGAGTGCTGGCTAGACAGCGGAGGGTGATAGTGGTATTTCTGCTTTACAACAGAGCTTAAGGGCTGCATTGTGGCAGTACTGAAATGAATAGACATCTAACTCAAGTTGTGTGAATTGTCCTCTTACAAAAACTTAAGCTGGTTTTAATTGATCTCATGTTCACTGATTGATCCTAGACCAATTGTTGTGCTTGTTGAACAGTTGGCTTTTCCAAAAGAGATTGATTTAAATTAGTTTTTAGTTTAATTATTGGATAAATACAATCAGTATTGCCAGTTGACTTACTGGCTCTGTTTTGTGCTGTCACCTATGGGTTTTGTTTTGGGCTTAGAAGAATGCAGTCTTTTTCAATTAATAAGTATAAAGAAGTAAGCAAAGCCAGTTCTAAGCACAGAAAGCACAATCTAAGAATGTATTCAAATTATAATAGGTATTTGCCATGACACATCCAGTCTGAAGTAATGCTTTCATACAGGACTCAAAATTCCAATAATTTCACAATTTTTCCATATCCCATCTGCAAATAATCAGGCAGTCACTGTGGGGTACTGGCAGTTAAAATTTCTCTGGCATTCTGTTTTGTCTGTTACATGATCTCAGATGCTCCATAATATCGTTTTCTTAATGAAATACAATTTTTGGCATAAATTAAGTCTCCTGTGTGGTACGAATCAATTGCATTCAGTCTGGAATTATGGGCAAATATCATGTGTAGCTGATTTTTTTAAAGCAGCTAAATGTAATAAACTTAAAGTGTATATGTCTGTATTGGCATTTGCTTGGATTTGTTACTGATGTAAAATACTCTAGTAAAGAAGACTTAAGTAAATTTGGGGAGATGTTCCCAGAATTCCTCATTCACCATCTGCTTGCAACCCTTTCCCAAATCAAGGCTTGCAACATTGCAGTAGAAGCAAAATAATAAAATAGGATTTGGAAAATGCTTGCATTGATTTGTGGTTTTTTAGTCAATATCACTTACTAAATTTTTTTATATAAATACGTAATAATCAACAGGCTCTACTTATTCCACTGCTGTTCTTAGTTACTTTTTCAGCTCATTAGAATATTGCTTTGCATAGTTGCTCAGAATAAAACCTTACTTTCCTTAAGACACCTCACTAAATTCTCCCTCTGGAAGTCACTGCCCTGACCAGAATTAAGGCCTTTTAGCCTTTCCTGCAGAAGATATTTGAAAACTATTTAAGGGTTACATAACTTAAAGCTCAGTGGTGTAATATCACAGCTGGTTTAGCCTAATCTTTCCTTTTTTTGTTGAATTTTGTAACTTGATTTTTTGTTTCTCTTGTAAGCCTTCTTCAATGAAAATTTATATTTATTTTTCAGATTTCTCTTTAGCAATCAGTATAAGATGGGCAGCTTCATGTCTTGGCATTTCACTGAATGTTGCAGGGTGCATGAAAGACCAGTGGTTTTCCCTTTGAGATGTAATGAAAACTTTTCCAAAGAGTACCACAAGTCAAAATGGGTACCTAGAAATGGAGACTCTCAGGGAGGTATGATGGCATTCTGCAAAAGTTTTGACAGAAGAGAATATAGGGATCATTAGAAACAGCCATCAAAAACCAGATGCTAACAAAATTCCCCAAGAGAAAAATGTCAATATGATAGCAGTGCCTGCATTGAGGGGAAGACTTAAGAGTCTACAGAGAGGCTCTCTACAGTTGATAAGACCAATGTGAGTAATAAAAAATGTGAATGGGACACATTCACACAGTTAAACCAGAAGTTGTTTATATCCAAGAACTCAAAACCTGTGGCTGTAAAATACTTGTCTTTCCATTTAGTTCCTATTCATGGAGTGTCATGAGGACTAAGGTGAATGCTTATGTCCTAGATGCTTACACTCTGTGTTAGAGGTACATAATGGTGGAATATCTGTGGCAATGAGTGAATAATGAGTGACAGTGGTGATGGCAAAATATCTACAGGTAGAAACAGGAGGAATACCCAGGGCAGGAAATTTCCCAGGTGTTCCTCAGACCTTAGTATAGCTTTGTGCACAGTTTTTATTGAAGAATATGATTATATGGCAGGGCACAGTCACTGGGTTCAAAATTATGTCAAATAAATTTTTATCGTCTTAATATAAGATGGGAATCCTGACCAGAAACCTGTTATTATTATAGGAAGTTGTTTCATGGATTTTCAACTAGGAAAAAAATCTGCTTGGGTATTAGGAATTGTGATTTAGCTTTCCTAACAAGCTATTTACCTGAGATAATCTTGGAACCTGTCTCAGCTGGACTGTATGGCCAAGCTTTGGGAAAGATAGATGATTTAAGCATTAAGGAAAAAGAAACTCTGTTGTATATACTTGACTGAAATAAATACCACAGCTACTTTTACAAGTAGCTCTGTAGTAGCTCTTAAAGAGTAATTTATCTCAAAAAAAAAAGTCATACTATGTGACTTTTAATTGTCTAGCGTTATCCAACTATTCTACCTCTTTGAGGTTGAAACGTGTTATGTTTGAAGGACAGTTAACTTTTTTATCTGCAGGTTAAGACTTAAAATTCTATGTGGAAGCAGTACTTTAAGATACTTTTTTCCCCTCAGGTGTAACATTAAGCAGTTGTAACAGAACCTGTGAAAGAACTGAGTTGTGCTTCCACAAGTGGTAATCTTCCAAGCACTGATGATCAGGAGAAATGCTTCCTGTGAGGAGCATGGCTTCCCTTCCTCAGACCTGTACTTAGGATAGTTACTGATCATTCTTTATACATACATTGCTGCTACAGCAATTAGAATATCCTAATGCTGTAACCATTGAAAAATTACAACTTTTAAACCTTTGACTATTTACACTTATTACTGGCTACATCTGAGGAAGTTTCTTAAACTGCCAGAAATCAAAATTTCTGTGTGAGTGACTGAATACTGAACTAGCTAATGATGCAGTGTTAGTGAGGATAAGCAGTGCTCAAACAGATTGTGAAGATTTGCAGGAGAATGCTTAAGGCACCAAGACCAGGTTTCACTGTCAAAATAGACGTCTAAGTTTAGGTGTTTGATTCAGCTTCTCAAAGTTGGTTTTCTGTGCTGCTTATAATATTTAAAAGATATTCTTCTGGGCTTGGTGTGTACAAGACTGTCTTTAGCAAGCAAGAGGCTGGGCAGGATATCTTGGGGCAGGCAATTCATTTGACACCTTTGGGTGTCCCAAGACTGTTACTGGGGAAGCTAGAAATGGGGAGCATGTTCTGGCACAGTGTTGTGGTGTGTGTGCCTTTCCTTGCCTGTATCCATCCCTTTAGGTTCCATTATAGGTCACTTGAGTTTAGGATGCAGGGCTAGATGGGTGTGCCTGATCAGACCTTGAAGTCTGTGTACGTGCTTTTGTGTTAAAACCTGCTGTAAGATTTACACCGTGATGAAGAGCTTAGATTTGTATGCTTGATAAACTTGTCTTAACTGTATATCTTCCTCTTTTGGGATATGGAGGGGATACACATTCCTTTTGTAGGCCTTTTCTAAGGCTTGGCTGAAAACTCTCACTAAAGCAGCTCAAAATGCATGACAGGTACTGAAAGTGAGTTTTTACACTAATATAGGGACATTATGGTGATAAAAGCAAGAATGCAATTTCTCAATTCAATGTCAACATAATTACTATGTTAAAGTATGTTAGCATGGTGTTGTTTACATAA